CGAAATATAAGACAGTTAGCCAGATATTATTCAACTTGTTTTTCTTTTTGAAGAGTAATTATCCGTGATTATCTCCGTTGGAAGCGCAATACATGCGCTCAAATTACTTCTAAAATAGTCTATAAACTACCTAGGCGTCTAGGAAGACGAATGTTATGATGAACTGCTGTTATGTCTTCAAGAGAAAAAAATCGTTTATGCAGAAAAACATTATTTGCTTTGTGTAAAATAAACTTAAAACATTTCAACTATTGTTAACATTTTGTTTCATATTTTTTCTCAAACATTAACTTGTATTGAGATTTGATGGTTCAGACGGGTGTTTAAAGATGTTTTTTTTTGTGTGCTATAGCTTTCGCCTGTTTAAACAAACATAAACGGACCCAAGCGTTTATAAATAACATAATGGTATAATGAATATGTCTTTCTGCTTAATTTTTAAAGACAATTGTGATAGCACATAAAACAGATACCATTATCTTTTTTAAAGAAATAAACTGCTTTTGTGTTTTTTGTGATGTTTAGAAACTTTGTTAGCTATACGTTGAAATGACAACTATTCGGAATAATATCAAGACAGAATTTTGTTTCATAAAATCTGCACTTTCATAATTTGCATTGATTTTCAACGCGTAATTTGCAGCTATTGTTAAAGGCATGGAATGGATTTAAGGTTTTATTGTGCAGGGAATAGAATGCGTTTTTTATATAACTCAACTAAAGCAATCACAATTATGAAAATTAGATTCTCCACAGAATACCCTGTTCTTATCCCCATCAGTTTCTGAATGGATACTAACATTCAATGCCTTTAAATTGCAGTACATTTAAAGTTTCCCATTGGTGATAAATGCATTTGATTAGATAACAATTGTCCATAAATATCTCATGGCTGATACGTGTGCTGTTTGATGAACATATTGGATTTATTCTGATATAAATGATTAAATTCAACTGTTTAAACATAATAACAACACTAAAGCTCGCCAACTAAATTAAACATATAACAGGTCGATTCGATTCGATTGAGCCTCTTCATGGAAGGCAATGATTTATGTTACTGTTCACCCCTGGCACCGCGCCGTACGAAGCACGAATTAAATGTAAAATTAGTGTGGACTTAAAAATTACATGCGCGAATTAGCCCATGCGGCGGTGATTTTGAACCTTCTGTTTGACTCCCTGTCATGTCCCCGTGTTAAACAATGTGTATGCTCTACAGAAGGAAACAATAAGCAAAATATTAATGATAGTAGAACAATTAACTACATCATTTAGCGATGGAATCGGAATAGCCTTCAACTATATCATGCATAGTAAAGGCAATAATAGTGTATCTGCTTAATGGTTAACGGCTTATTTTCCAAAATATAAAATAATTTGATTCTGTATGATATTAAGGAATCTTTCTCCTTACAGATACATTCCAAATGTAAATATGAAATAGATTTAATAAATGTTAAACTTAGTCAGTGCAGAAACATGTTACTTCAAACCAGTGCATTTAATCACATATTAAACACGCAATATTTTTTTCGTTCATAGCAAATCTTAATGCAGCCTAAAATGTGCAAATTATATTGAAATAGAGAAAAACAAAATATCCCTAAAGAACGTCTAACACGGCAAAATTGAAAATGTTGCAGGCTTGAAGTTGAGTTGTCAGTTTGGAAATGAAAATTGGCATTTATACAAGATTAGACGAGATTGAAGGAGTAATTGTGGGAGTTAAATACATTTATTAAAAGTGCTCTCTCCCAAATGCATGCTATCAAACATTAATCCTTCTGGCATATCATACAATCTAAAAAAGGAAACGAATTTGATTAAACGAGATTTAATTGTTTCATATGTAGTTTTGCTTTGTGTGAATTTGTTATAGGTCAGATTTAGATAATTTGACTTCTGCTTAGCAATTTCATTCTTAAGGTTTTGTTCAATTGTTTTTGAAAACTTATTCGTTTCTTTTTTCAATTAACATGTTTGCAAGCAAAGATAGATAGATGATCGTTGTTCGATGTTTTACAATGGTGTACAAATCAAAGCATTGTAGAGTTAACTATTTTTTTTAATGAATCCAGTTATGACACATACATGTTTGATTAAACAACATTACAATTTACATTTTTGACAAAATACGTCAACACCGAAAGAGACATATCACTTTGCTACGTGATCGCCTGACAATAATTTAATATGCATTTCTCATTTGGATTAAAGCACTGAGTAAATGATACAACAATTGTATTAACATAAAATTTCAGTTCACTTACAGGTTTAAAACTAATACCATGTAAACAACGCTTTAGCTGGGGAACACACATTTGGTCTAGGACGCAAAAGGCGATGAAGTCCTTTTCTAACGATGTGTAATCGATCCGATGAGCTGCACTATTATTGTAATGAAAGAGATCTGTAGAGAAATTTAGCAAGAGTCTCATTTACCCCCCAAAAAGAAATAGAGATATCCTCAAAGAACGCACAATACTGCAAAAAGGAAATGTTTAGCCTGTTCACGAACGTTACTTGAAAGTGAAAGCTACCATCCAGACCCCAAAACCATCATCAGTAGATAAGTGATAATGGGTAATTTAAAATCATGCTTTTCTGTTTAAGACAGACAAACTTCCATATCTTAAAGTAACTTATAGCAGAAAATTTAAATGAGTTTCTTAGGCTGAACGAAAACTGCCGTAAACCATGAAGTGTGTACTAAAAATCATTAAGCATATCCCTGGCTGTAATGTAATCAAAGGTTTTATAGCAAAAGAGACACACAGCTAAGACGTTTTATGATTTTTTTAGAAAAAGAAAAAGATACGTGAATATTTAAAAAAAAAACTATCTGATTTAATCAACTGTATCAGATTGCATTGCCACACGTGGATCATTTACTTACAAAGTCAATATAGACAAAATGTAAGAAAATTGTACGTTTGTTAACAGCGGTATAAATAGGTTAGCTACCTTGGACTGACGCAACCAGTAACGTCTTTTATCTGTTTTTACTGTGCATGTTAGTCTTTAAAAATCTGAGTTTGTTATGATGGAAAGTGCCAAATATATTGCAGATATGTGTCTCCACTCTATAAAATAGTTTACTGTGTGTTACCTTTATTAATGACTAATCTTATATAGTTTTATAGTAAATACAATTAATAAATAACTTATATGTTCCGGTTGTATGATATGTTCAATAGAATACACCTGAATACTAATCATGAATAGGGAAAGTCTTAATAGTTAAATAATGCCTACTTAAGAACTCCAAATGCCTTGCATTAAAATAATGTGTACTTTATATCTTTGTTTGCTTTGCTAGAAGTTATCTGGCAATAAAACAATGCAGCTTTATTGCCTCCAAACCTTTTAAAAGAAGCAAAGGGATATAGAAATGAGCTCCGTCTGTCCGTCATTCACCCTTTCCTGTTTGGTCCATAACTAAGCTATTCATCAACGGAATTTGAAATTACTTGGCACAATTATGATTTTATTTAATAAGACATTGTGTCATGCGCAAACACCAGACCCCAACGTCCAGGGTCAATGTCACACTTGGTGATTACAGGTCAGCACTGTCTGTTGGAGGGTATATGTCGTTTCTGGTTCACATTTTTCTCATTCATTAAGGGATTTGAAAATACTTTTCTCAAATGCTCACAATGATCGGACGATGTGTCGTTCACAAGACCAAGACGCTTAGACGCTTACCCCCAAGGTCAATTGATAAAGCCCGCATACTTCCATCGATGAAAATGTTCGGAACGAACACGAAATATACTCTGTCACAGACAAAACCTATTTTGTGGTTTTGCAATGATGATAACAACTATACAAATACATTTTTGTTGACATTATATATCTCTAATGAATCTATCGCAGCATATGTAGATCTAGCATCGATCAAGATTTAGCACTGGAAATCCAGAACCATACCTCAATCTTTTGTAATAGCATACTTTTTGTGCTTCATGTAAAACATTTTTTACAGGGGACGTTGTTAACTCTGTTAAAAATGCTTTTGTTAACTTTGCCACATTGCAAATTATAAATATTGTGATGTGTTTTTATAATAGAGACAAAGACAAAATAGATTTTGTATTTGTTAAAACCTCAAGCGATATCAATGACATTTAAAGCCTTCCAAATGTATTGTCATTTAATCTAGATGGGAATATATTAATAACCAAATCACGAGTCATTTATAATTTATTGCTGTCTGGTTTCGTCTCGATTAAAACCAGCTATTAAGTCCAATGTTAGTTTTTATTGAAGTAAAATATAATAACAGTCAATCCGCTATCATTATTTCGCACAATATAACATGGTCGTAACATGAATGTCATTATATAATTTAATACAAAAATCATTGCTATCAATGCTTTAAGAATACAGAATCTCTTACAAAATTACTATTAATTTATTTTAAAAATAAACAGAAAAGGTTTATGTATAAAAGGTTAAAAAAGCTTCAAATACTGATGTCGCTATTATGTTGACTTTTGCTCTAATCATTGCAACAATATCACAGACTAATGATACATTTTATAAAAATATCTATGAACCTTTTTTTTACATGATTTACTAAATAAGGAAAAATAGACATATTATATTTAACGACAGTAAAATTGTTTTGTTATCTTATTCACGGTAGGGAATCACGTGACTTTTACGGTTACGCGTACAGACAATATGGCGGCCTAAAAACCTCGCTTCACATGTGTTTTTCAGGTAATTCTTTATTATATCCCTTTTACTTACATACGAGACCTGTTGCAGCCTACGCGGAATAAAGAATTGTTGCCGCCTATACCTTATTTTCCACCCCTGTGCTCATAGCTTTTACAAACACTCAAAAATTCAACAGGAATTTTCAATGTTGACAATTATTTTTCGGGTAACATTCACGCAATCTTTGTATTTGTTATGAATTTGATTAAACTACGTAGAGTTAGCAAAGAGAAAATGTTCATAATAGTTCTTTATTTGAAAATGTAAATATTAGGCATGTTAAATGTTGACTGGTCATTTTCTATTCCAACACACAAGAGAAAAATGATTTGGGTAACGGCCACGCAAACTTTTATTGTTGATAACTCCCACGCAATATTTTATGTGCAAGCAATATCTATGCAGGTTAAAGCCTAGATATTGATTTAACAAATCATGATTGATGCATTTAGCCTCAGGCTTTCAAATAATTTTGAATAATATTTAAAATACCGCCAATAGGTCCCGGATAGAATTAACCCAGCAGGCACATAAACGTTGAACAACGTTGAATTATGGTCAGATTTTAACGTTGAAATAACGTTGGATTTATGTTCGGATTTGAAAGTTTAAACAACGTTGAAATTCAACGTTGGCACAACGTTTAAGTTTCAATGTAATTTCAACATACTTCAATTTTAATATAAAGCAAAGTTACAGAGTTTAACTGTTTAACAAAAAAGACAGTTCAAGTGCAGCTTTAATTTTAACGATTTAAGAAGTCCTTTAAGCTACAATTAAGCTACAATCTGTTCCACTCTACTACTAGTACTTCTTCTAGATCTCTCCTGGTATGTCTTAAGTGTTTCATGATGGTGTTTGAATACTTCGTTGGCTGTCTCTTACTGCTTCTGCAAATGAAATAAGAAGTTACTAATTAAAAGTGACTTGGTCAATCTTAAATATATATATAATTAATCAACTTAGTGATATGTTTTATCTTAAAATGATTATCTCTAAGATTTACATAATAAAACAGCATAGAAATTAAGATACAGCTGAAGTTTCATATTGACAGCAAATTATGTACATAAAACAAAAAAAACTTTTTTAAAAGAAGCTATTTAGAAGTCTCACCTATGATTGGTAAGAAAAACTGCTCCCCATCAGTTACTTGCAGCATATTCCTAAGAAATATTCATTCTAGGCTCTAGCTAAAACCATTGTATGCAGCATCCTGAAAACAACAAATATGTAAATTTTATATTAATAATGTTACACAAGTATTCTTAAAATAATATACAAGTCATGTATTATTAAGACACGATAAATGTCCAGTACCTGCAATATTAATACTTTGTAAAGAAATATATATATATTAAATATTAGAATTTCAATTCAACAAACCTGACAGTCCTTTTCATGTTAAATGTATGGTATACAAGCTACAGCTGCAATACTCTCAATTTCAACCAGGACCAGGATCTAGAATATAAAAATAGATTTATTATTACCTATAAATTCACGGCAATTAAGCTTGAAATTTAACATTAAAGAACAGTTCAATCAATATTTGTGTCGATAATGCAATGTATATAATGATTTTTTCAAACTAATTCACGTTTAATTTTACTATCACTAATTAAGATATAAATACAGCTAGATTGGGCCGAACAACACTTCATCTGCTTATAGGTTACAATAATACGATAAATAAATTTCAAAAAGGCGTGACCTGTAAAATCACAAATTGCCAAGGACATCAATAACTTCGCGTAAGGCCTACCAAACCCAAATCATTCAATTAGGTCGCGTTTTAATACAAAAGTATCAAATATTAGAAGGAGGTTTTGTATTTCTTTTTTTAGTATAATTACAGTTGACATTTTTCATATTTTGCAGATATGAAAGTTTCCAGCTCGGATATTGATTGTGATAAATGTGGGAAACATTTCATTCACGGAATGACCACATCGGCACAGGACCTTATAACTTTTGTGGTGAAACATTTTATAGCTCAGCAAATCGGAAACGTTACGGGTTTTACTGTTAGTATTAAAATAACATTCAAACATAAGTCCTCTAGATTCTATTACCTAGTATGTAAAAAAAGACCCATTCTAATATGATTTAGGGTTGTTTTTTTAGCTCACCAGAGCCAAAGGCTCAGGGTGAGCTATTAGTATCAAAGGGGGATGCTCCGACGTCGATCGTCCGTCGTCATGCGTCAACAATCGTTTTCTTTTCTGAAACCACTAAGCAGATTTACTTCAATTTTGGTCTGTAGCATCCTTGTGACAGTCACACTTGAATTTGCACATGTCATTCTAATTGGCCCCTTTAAGGGGTCAGCAGAGCTAAAAGTAGTAAAAACATTTAAACATCTTCTTCTACAGAACTAATTGATGGATGATCTCCAAACTTTGTCCGTAGCATTCTTGGTAAGTCTTTTATCAAGTTTGCTCATATTAATTTGATTGGCCCCTATTAGGCGTCTCTAGGGCTAAAAATAGAAAAACCTTTAAACATCTTCTTCTACAGAACTAATTGATGGATGATCACCAAACTTTGTCGGTAGCATTCTTGGGTAGTCGTTTATCAAGTTTGCTCATATGAATTTGATTATGCCTTTTTAGGGGCCACTAAAATTAAAAATAGAAATATGTTTTAACAGCTTCTCCTATAGAACTAATGAATGGATGATCACCAAACTTTGTCTGTAGCATTTTTGGGTAATCTTTTATCAAGTTTGCTCACATTAATTTGATTGGCCCCTTTTAGGGGCCGCTATAGCTAAAAATATCTTCTACTTCAGAACCAATTGATGGATGATCACCAAACTTTGTCTGTAGCATTCTTGGGTACTCTTTTATATTAATCTGATAGCCCCTTTTAGGGGCCACTAAAGCTAAAAATAGAAATGCCGTTAAATGTCTATTTGTAGAGAACTAATTGATTGATGATCAACAAACTTTGTCTGTAGCATTCTTTGGTAGTCTTTTATCAAGTTTGCTCATATTAATTTGATTGGTCCCGTTTAAGCTAAAGCTTAAATGCCCCAGGTCATGGCATTTCCTCAAATTATTGTTTAAACATATTGTTATGAAATTTGAAACTAATCTTTTACTAGAAGAGTATTCTTTTAGGATGGTAAATCTGGACAATATTTCTAAGCTGGTTAAAATGTTTATGTTAACTTTTACTCATTTTTTGTTGTAAAACAATTGAGTCATCAACAGTCCAGAATATTGGCACAGCTCAGTTATTTTTAGATTATGATCATACCTCATTCCAAATTTGGAAAGGTCGCGCAGACAAAGGTCGCGCGACACTTAAGGTCGCGCAATAGGAAAGGTCGCGCAGAATCAGCTTTCCCAGGCATGCTAGTTCCAAATATGGAGAGGTCGCGCAATAAGAGGTCGCGCAGTCTAAAAGTACAAGGTTTAAGTTATTTTTAGCCCTTCAGCATCTCAATTGTTGTTAACAAAGCATAATTTGGTCATATCAGATTTTATGAATGGGATTCCTTACTCACAGCTTTATCTATGTACAGGTTACTTGGTTCAAATGTTGAGCTGTATGTTGTAAAGCTGGAGAGATTATATTTCTGTTGTTTAATGAATTATCAGTCAGTATTATAAGTTTATAGAAATGTCAATCAGTAGTAAGTGTATTGGTCTTATAAGCCATATATAGTACATATATCTTTATTACTGCAAGTATATTTTGCACAATTAAGATGCATTATTGGACAGATAATTATTATCCTATTGAGTGTTCAAACATGTAAATGTATATAACTATTGTGTATTTTTGTACTAATGTTTGTATTGTACAACAGTCTGTATACCTGAACCAGTTGCAGGCCATTTTGAACATTGTTAAGGCATTGTCAGCATTTTAAAAGGTCGCGCAACATTCAGGTCGCGCAATGAGTTGTGTGCAAAACTGGAGAGGTCGCGCAATAAGAGGTCGCGCAACAGTCTACTTTTGCACACCACCCTAGCTGCGCAAACAGAAGGGTATATAAGCTGGGAACTTTTCTACCTGGGTTAGTTTTGGAGTTTTTTGAGGAGTTTTGGAGTGAGTTGGAGTTGGTTGAGTTGAGTTAGTTAGTAATTGAAGAAATGTATTTGTTGAAGTTGTTAAGAATTTTACTTTGGTTTTGACTGTTGATAGAAAATAAAATGATGCATTATTTTGATTTACTGCAATAAATATAATCCTGCTTTCACTTGGACTTGACTTGTTCATTTTACCAGCATAGAGAAATGGTTGACTTTTAAGCGAAAAAAGTGAATAAACAAAACGTTTCACAAAAAGTGAAATGATTCCGTAACACTGGTGGCAGCGGTGGGATAAAGACTTTAACATGCTTCAGCGCAGGGATAAAGACTTTGAAATTTTCTACTTTTGAGTGTAATGGACTTACAAAATGGAAAAGGAATTAGAATCATTGCGTCAGACTGTTTCTTTGTGCTGTTTAGAAATAGGAAATATCTCCAAAGAACTAGTTAGTCATAGTGAAAATCTAACAAGTGCATTTAGTGATTTTTGTAAACAAAGTGAATGAAATTTAGAAATGAAAAATAATGAAATCAGTGAATTAAAATCATATAATGCAAAATTTACGTGCTTCTATGTTAGACGATGACACTCAGGTTTTTTAGAAGAAAAGTCAGTAATATGGGACCTAAGAAATCTGCTAGATCTGCATCAGCATCACGTCTTGAAAATTCAGAACTTACAATGGATTTACGTCAACAACTTTCCAGAAAAATTGATGAAAATGATGATTTACAAGCTAATTTAACTGATGCATTGGCAAATATTGAGAAATTAAATGAAACTGTCAAAATTTTACAAACTGAAAAAGCTGGATTACAAGAAATTATAGAAAGTGAAAATGAACAATTTCGAAAGAGATAAGGAAAATTTGAACAGTCTATATCATACAACTCAGATGAATAAGAGACAGACAAATCCAAGTATTGAGACAAATGAAATCGATGAATTACAAAATATTTTACAATCAAGAGATGTTGAACTTTAGTCGCCTGCAGAACATTGCATTACGAGAAAGTAACCAAAGAAATTCTCGGGATTATAATGTTTTCCACTACCAAACCAGGTTCTTTTTGATGGTAAAACGTCATACACTGCATTCATACGTCAATTTGCTGTGTTGGCTGAAACATGCCAATGGAGTGATAAAGAGAGGGCATTTCGCTTGCTGAATAGTCTGAGGGATGATGCAGCAGAGTTTGTATTCAACCAGGTCAGTCCTGAAACTCAACAATCTTACACACAGCTTGAGCAATGTCTAGCAGCAAGATTTGTAGAAAGACGTTCTACCGCCTCTTATTTGATGGAGCTCGAAAATGTCAAGCTTCACTCAAGGGACAAACTCGTGGAGTATGTTGCAGATATAAAGCGTCTTGTTCGAAAGGGCTACCCAACTACAGATGATCATACTATTGGTACAATTTGTTTACGGCATTTTATTAGAGGTCTGGGTGACTCCCAGATGGCTCTGGCTATAGGGATGAAGGAATCCGACAGTATCGAAAATGCACGTGAGATTCTGGAGACGTACTATAGTTTGAAGGACGAAACTAAGGCAAACACCAAAGTTCGAATGGTTCGACAAGGGAACAACAATGTTTCTCAAGAGCAGTTTTTGTCTTTCAAGAAAAGAAATAGATAAAAAATTTGATGAGATTCTGTCTGTCATTAAAAAAGCAAGATATGCAGCCAGAAAAATTCAAAAGAAGGGATTTATCTACTGTTGAGTGTTATAAGTGTCATAATTTAGGTCATTATGCACGTGATTGCACGAGTCAGCAGAGTGATAAAAATAAAGCGGAAAACTAGGTGGGACTAAGGGCAGACGGCCTTGCGTTAGTCCAAAATCATAGTGAAAAAGTGATAAAAATTCATTTTTAATGATACCTGCAATGGATTATCTTTGTTATTACCTGTAAAATGTGGTGATATCAGTGCAAATTTAGTAGTAGATACTGGAGCAGTTGTTACTATTGTTTCTTCTAATATCTATCATAGTGTGCCTTCTGATATTCGTCCATCATTGGAGAAAATTGATCCAAATTTTAAGCTTGAAGTTGCAAATGAAGGGTATCTCCCTATTTTAGGTAAAACTGTGATGAGTTTTAAAATTCATAAGGATATATTTAAGTTCAATGTGTTTATTGCACCAATTCAAGAAGATGGTCTTTTAGGTCTTGATTTTCTACAAGAAAATAATTTTGTGTTAAGTGCAGAAAATGGTTTGCATCTAAATGGAAAGGGGTATCCTACGTTGATGGAATCTTCAGTTTTCAAAGTGATGAGTGTCAAAAGTTCAAAGTCAGTCATTGTACCAGCAAATAGTGAAGTGATAATAATAAGAAAGAAGTTGTTATGGCGGCAAAATTGATACCGAGTATGGAATTGTTACGCCATTTAAAAAAAGTGATGATAGTGAAAATAGCTTAATTGTTGGCCATACGCTGGTCAACCTCATTCTAAAAAATGGTTGTGTTTCCAATTCGTTTAATGAATATTAGCAATGAAAATGTAAAAATTGAAGCTAATACTACTCTTGGATATATTGAGAATGCTGAAAAAGTTAGTTTTTTGTGAGAAAAAATGAGTGTTTTGTTAATGAAAAGTGTGACTCAAAGCTTCCATCTCATTTAAATGAGCTATGAAAAATTCAGTGAAAAATCTTAAATTATGATCAAGAGTGAAACTTAAGAATCTTTTGATTAAGCATTCAACTGTGTTGCAAAGTCACCAAAATGATTTCGGGTCGTACATCTGTAATAAAGCACAACATCAATACTGGGGCAGCAAAGCCTATTAAGCAACGCCCTAAAGGCGCCCACCAAAAGCTTTCGCAAAAATGAAGAAGAGAAAATAATTAAAGATCAGTTAGCGCCAATGTTATTCAGGAAAGTAATTCTCCCTTGGGCGTCACCATTAGTATATGTCAGGAAACGTGATGGAACAACGGACGACCTTGTGTGGATTATCGTCAGCTTAACAAACGTAACAGAAAAAGATGCATACCCCTTACCTAATATAAGTGATTGTTTGGAAAGTTTACGGGGGATCATCATATTTTTCGTGCTTGGATATTTTTGTCAGCCTATTATCAGATTGAAGTTGATGCAGGCTGATCGACCAAAGACAGGCCTTCACTACAAAATTCGGTTTATTTGAAATATTTGGTAATGCCGTTTGGATTATGTAATGCACCGTCAACCTTCCAACGATGTATGGAATTAGTAATGAGAGGTCTTCAGTGGGAAATTTTGCTGATATACCTTGATGATTTGATTATTTTTGCCGCACATTTGAAGAACATTTAGATAGGCTTGATACAGTTTTAACGCGTTTGTGTGAGTGTGGAATGAAACTGAAGCCAAGCAAATGTTTTCTGTTAAAAACTGAGTGTCATTCTTAGGACATGTAGTTAGTAAGGAGGGAATAAGCCCTCAACAAGTCTAAAAGTTAGTTGTATTGGCAAATTGGGAAAGGCGTACGATTTAACAACTCTGCGATCACTTTCTTGGTTTTTGTTCATACTACAGGATATATATTCGTGATTTTTCCACAAGAGCTAGGCCATTAAATAGGTTGTTGGAGGCCCGGAAACCAATTCGAATGGTCTGATGAATGTCAGAGAAAGTTTCGACGATTTACGCAGTGCATTGACTGGTGATGAAGTCATGGCAATACGCCTCAAGATGATGGATTATTCATACTTGATTGCGAATGCGTCGAATTTCGGTATTAGGAGGAGTTTTGTCACAAATGCAGTTTTAGTGAAAAACTTGGACAGTGTATCGAAAAGCCAATAGCATATGCGAGCAAAAGGCTTGAATAAGGCTCAAAGACGCTATTGTGGTAACACGTCGGGAACTGTTGGCAGTTGTTACATTTGTTACGCTATGTTTAAAACAGTATTTGTTAGGACGTTCGTTCTTAGTGAGAAGTGATCATTCTTCATTAAGATGGATTATGTGCCTTCAAAGAACCAGAAAATCAGATGGCTAGATGGCTTGAAGTGCTATCACAATATGACTTTAAGCTAGAGCATCGCAAGGGAACTAAGCATGCAAATGCTGACTTTTTGTCGAGGATTCCGTGTGACCCTTGTTCGTGTACTTGTTATAGTGGTCACTCTATTCTAAGTGAGCTTCCGTGTGGAGGTTGTAAAGAATGTGGTGAAAAGCATGAACAGTGGTCGGAACTTGCAGATTTTGATGATGTGGTTCCACTGGTGTCTAAGAAAGTCAAGCGAGTCAGAGGAAAAGGTGTTCCTGCCGACTTAATTAGGGACTGTTCTGCATCAGTGCTGAATTTTTCTGTTTGTTTTTGCGTTGTATCTGGGAGCGTTTCTCAGGCAAATTGAACAGAAATTTCGTGGTTGTGAGAAAATTTGTTTCTGTGAGAAAAGACTTAGGGCAACGGAGAAGAAACGTGCGCCTAAGTCTGGTGCTGCGGATAACATTGATTTAAGTGATGCCACCAAAGAGAAGGATATGGCACAGACATCACATGCAGGGGGTCTGTACCCAAATGGTGACATTTCTTCTGAAAAAGTGTATAAGTTCTCAAATTGGGTAGGTTCGTATACCACAACTGAACTTATAAAAATACAGAAAAAAAACAACAGGCAATTAGTGACTTTCTAAAATGTCTTACTGAACTTAACAAAAGTGTGTTGGAGATTGTGAATTAAATTGAAGAGACAGCGAGGGAAAACTGTTATGGGATTTTATCTAATTGAACAGTAGAATACTTATGTTTTATATTTCATAAAAATCCATAATGCTTATTTGTTAATTTGTTTAGTTTTTTGCTTATGTTAATCTGCATAATATCATATAACACTTAGTAGTTTTTCACATGTATTGTTTAGTAACACTTAGTAGTTTTTCACATGTATTGTTTTAGTACAATATTATTCTTTTATTTTTTATTTCAATTTCACTTAACAAGAGTTTTCAAGGTTTGCTTCAAATTTAAAAACTTAACATATGTAAATTAATTGGTTTTGCTTCCGGAGTAAGCAAAAGTCCAAAGGTGGGAGAGTGTTATGAAATTTGAAACTATCTTTTACTAGAAGAGTATTCTTTTAGGATGGTAAATCTGGACAATATTTCTAAGCTGGTTAAAAATGTTTATGTTAACTTTTACTCATTTTTGTGTTGTAAAACAATTGAGTCATCAACAGTCCAGATATTGGCACAGCTCAGTTATTTTTAGATTATGATCATACCTCATTCCAAATTTGGAAGGTCGCGCAGACGCAAAGGTCGCGCGACACTTAAGGTCGCGCAATAGGAAAGGTCGCGCAGAATCAGCTTTCCCAGGCATGCTAGTTCCAAATATGGGAGAGGTCGCGCAATAAGAGGTCGCGCAGTCTAAAAGTACAAGGTTTAAGTTATTTTTAGCCCTTCAGCATCTCAATTGTTGTTAACAAAAGCATAATTTGGTCATATCAGATTTTATGAATGGGATTCCTTACTCACAGCTTTATCTATGTACAGGTTACTTGGTTCAAATGTTGAGCTGTATGTTGTAAAGCTGGAGAGATTATATTTCTGTGTTTAATGAATTATCAGTCAGTATTATAAGTTTATAGAAATGTCAATCAGTAGTAAGTGTATTGGTCTTATAAGCCATATATAGTACATATATCTTTATTACTGCAAGTATATTTTGCACTATTAAGATGCATTATTGGACAGATAATTATTATCCTATTGAGTGTTCAAAAACATGTAAATGTATATAACTATTATGTATTTTTGTACTAATGTTTTGTATTGTACAACAGTCTGTATACCTGAACCAGTTGCAGGCCATTTTGAACATTGTTAAGGCATTGTCAGCATTTTAAAAGGTCGCGCAACATTCAGGTCGCGCAATGAGTTGTGTACAAAACTAGAGAGGTCGCGCAATAAGAGGTCGCGCAACAGTCTACTTTTGCAGCACCACCCTAGCTGCGCGCAAACAGAAGGGTAATATAAGCTGGGAACTTTTCTAGCTGGGTTAGTTTTGGAGTTTTTGAGGAGTTTTGGAGTGAGTTGGAGTTGGTTGAGTTGAGTTAGTTAGTAATTGAAGAAATGTATTTGTTGAAGTTGTTAAGAATTTTACTTTGGTTTTGACTGTTGATAGAAAATAAAATGATGCATTATTTTGATTTACTGCAATAAATATAATCCTGCTTTCACTTGGACTTGACTTGTTCATTTTACCAGCATAGAGAAATGGTTGACTTTTAAGCGAAAAAAGTGAATAAACAAAACTTTTCACAAAAGTGAAAAGTTTTTGTAACAATATTCTATGCTCAAATTTAATATTAGAATATATTGACAATCCAACACTGAAAATCAGTTGTTTCTGATGAGCGACTCAGGGCCATCATTAAGGGCCGCCTTTAAAATCTTAATATTAACAGTAAAATGTCATACCTGTGACAGTTCGATTTGCCACAATGTTTACAAGGTCCTGTGCCGAGTAGCCAGTTTAAGTGGTCATTAAGACCTGTCCGTGAACGAAATGTTTTCCAACATTATCCACAAACAATATCCGAGCTGCAACCGTCCATATCTGCAAACTATGAAAAATGACAACTGTAATTGTGCTTAAACTGAAATCGACCTCCTTCTTATATTTGAGACTTTTATTTTAATTTCTGCGATTAATTCATCTATATCTCTATATCGAAACTTCATTTAATATATTTACGTGAGCATGTGTTCTGCTATTATTTAAAATTCTATGAACGTTTAAGGCTAAATACATCGATCATGATTTTGTTAAATCAATATCGAGGCTATAGCCTGCATAGATATTGCTTGCACATAAAATATTGCGTGGGAGTTATCAACAATAAAAGTTTGCGTGGCCGTTACCCAAATCATTTTTCTCTTGTGTGTTGGAATAGAAAATGACCAGTCAACATTTAACATGCCTAATATTTACATTTTCAAATAAAGAACTTCTATGAACATTTTCTCTTTGCTAACTCTACGTAGTTTAATCAAATTCATAACAAATACAAAGATTGCGTGAATGTTACCCGAAAAATAATTGTCAACATTGAAAATTCCTGTTGAATTTCTGAGTGTTTGTAAAAGCTATGAGCACAGGGGTGGAAAATAAGGTATAGGCGGCAACAATTCTTTATTCCGCGTAGGCTGCAACAGGTCTCGTATGTAAGTAAAAGGGATATAATAAAGAATTACCTGAAAAACACATGTGAAGCGAGGTTTTTAGGCCGCCATATTGTCTGTACGCGTAACCGTAAAAGTCACGTGATTCCCTACCGTGTTATTATAATTAAAAATTTAACAAAAAACATACGCATTCTAGTATTATTTTTTTCTAGTGGAATAGATGTATGGGTATAGTCTGAATTTGATTTATATGATCTTAGGAAAATATGTAAAACGACGTACAATTGCATCATCAGCTACAAAAGTTTGGAAGCGTTGTCCTTACAGAATTAAAAATCATACACAAATAATTAGATTGCTGGAAATTTATATGATAAGTGTCTTGTATGTTGCTGTGACTCTAGTATGTAAAATTAATATGTATCTTAAAGGGATACTCACGCAAAATAATGAAATGATCATACGTGCTCAAATCACGCTAACATGAAATTTTTTAAAGCCCCGGCATGACTTTCGGTATAAATTTTATAAATTTTGGGTTTGAAGCGTAAATTTATATGTTAAACGAAAGTGAGACGCCAACATAATCACCTAATAGTTTTAAAACAAGTCATTTAATTTGAAAAAAACCCTTGAATTTAATTTACAATAATAGATATTATAGATAGTGTGTGATTGAAACAGTCTAAATCATTCATTTGACATGTTCTTTAACGTTTCCTGAGTTCACTGTGACAATTTTTGTGCAGGTCAAGTTAAAAAACCACTATTTTATTCTTTATATGAAGAAAAGTTTTGTTCCGTTGACTGTCTAGTGTATTCATTTCGAAGACATTACAGAATAATGAATGAAAAATTCAAAACTAAGAAATGAAAACTTTGCCTGTGTCTCCTTTTAATATATCCGTGATTTGAACAAATTTATTTTAAAACTGAAGGAATGTTTCTTTCTCGCTGCTAAGACCGACGTTACAAGGAAAAATACTTATATCAATGGCAAGATCATATCGACTGTAAAAAATCTATCAACCATAGAAGGTTTGACATGTACGATAGGCAGGACGGGTTTCAATTTAATCCGGCATGTTCATAAAAAGCAGTTGTGCATTCAAAATACCGACCTTAAATTTTTGTTTTGAAATAACATTTCAAATTTGGTCCTCTAATGTAACAAACGACTTTTTAATAGCCTTTACACCACCTTTAAGATAGAGAAATCATGAATGTAAGAAATGAAAACTAAAAATAAAAAGTACACCTTTCGTGGGAAGTATGTGCTGTATGGCAGAACAATGTGTCAGCGGATAATATATTTTTAGTCAGGCCATGCTGGTTTACCCTTAAGGACACTTCTCTCATAGGGCACATTTTAATGTTATAATATTAAACAGTGTCAAATGAAATCTAGTTTAAATCGAATATGTGTCTATACAAAACTAGGTGTATACCGGAAATGGGTAAAAATCTGGAATAGTGATCCCTCGGAAGCATTACTCACAACATCATTACATGAACATTGCATACTTGGTTTGATTGAGTATGTACATGAGGGATGATGAAAAATGCAACATCTGTCAAGCCCCCTAACAAAGACTTGTACTAAAACGATAAAGATAATTAAAACTTGCAGAAAGTATCATTAAATAAAAGCCAATATATATGTATAGCGATAACGCACAAATATTCAGAAAGACCTTTTACAGACAGGTATTATGCCCAACTGATGTTTTTATTGAACAACATTCGAGCAGGAATGTTAATATCACACGACAAGCAGATATGAAACGTCTTTCGTGAAAATGTGAAAAATGACTAATTGTTCCACACTTTCAATTGTTGTTTTTTTTTAAATCTAAATTAAGTTTAAAACTATCATATGTTATAATAAAGATTAATGTTCTTCAATAAAGACAAAAAAGAGAGTAACGTTCACGAGCCACAATAGCAGATATATCCTATTGCAAATGAATATGTTGTGTATAACATTTATGTCATGGTATTGAAGAGAAGTTTGTCAGACAGAAATTCGGCCTGCTATTCTAATGTATTTTCCTTACATTGTATGTATATTTTTGAAGATAAAATATAAACATCACCATACTGTACTCTGTATATACACATATAACGTTCATGAAACTTCATATACGACGCTACGTAGTTGTCATAAAGACCTGAATTATATTCTAGTAATGGAATGTTTAATTTTCATTTTTGAATATCTGAGTAGATAGACAATATATAGTTTTGCTATTGCAAATTCTTCGATATCGAAATGTTAAAATATGATGAACAATATCAACAAGGAAAGGCGGTGTGTAATGAACGCAAAAACTTCATAAATTGAATAACTGAATGTTTGAATGTTGTTTAACTACAAGAATATAAGAACAATAGAGTTTACTGAAAATTATATTTATGGTTTTCAAGATTTCAGATTTCTTTGGTATTAAAAGGAGATATACACAAATAGAAATTGTTGCGAGGTCAAAGGATTTCTATAAATGCTACAGACATTTTAATTTTTGACTGAAGTGAATATCTATTTTGAGATGTTTTAAAGATTATTTTATTAACAAGAATGTTTAATAGTAAAAAAGAATATTTTCAAAGATATCGGATAAAGTTCTTCTATATGCTGCATGCTCAGAAAATGCTTATTAATTAATTTTCTCATTCCAGTTGCAAATTACATTCACATCTATTTAGTTAGAAAAGAAATTAACATTTTAATTACATGTGTAAAAGAAGCTCATGCGGGAAATGTTATACAAAAACAAATGTTTTGGAGGTATATATTTGAAGATTTAAACCTTTATCATATATGTTAATTACATGAATATCAGCTTCTTAGTAGCGATTTTATATAACATATCACTGAGCTTTCATAAAAATACTTGATAGTCTGCACTATTTGACATAACTCGCAGACGTAATTTGTTCAAGATTCAGTCATTGAATAATGTAAAATGACAGGCAATTTTCACGCCTTGTTAGATTTGTCAGAGCAATACGTATAATCAAATGTTATACAATATAACATCTTTAACGTTTTATTTTTATAATGTAGTTATATATCTGGTCTTCAAAAGTGAAGTATCAGATGATATAAACATACATTATGTAGAAGTAATTTATTTTTATTAAAATTTAATTAAAATTCCTTTACAGATGAAAAAGATAATCAATAAAATAACAATGATGTAGTTCTGATCGTACATATACCAGAAATATTTCATATCTGTTTTAATGTGCAAATATATTTTGTGGCCACCAATAGCAAACGTAACGATAAAGTACTTCAAACAAATGTAGTTAAACATTCACGACTTCCCTAAATTATCATTTAGTCATACCAGAAACAATAAAGTACTGATCATTTAACTTTGTTGACAACTGGTCAAGTTAGGTATAAAATTGATCGAAAATAATTTCTCACTTTTTGGTATGCATAACAAATTCTTCAAACCATTATGGAAAGCCTTGACTGTCTTATGATTGTAAAAATGAACGTTGTTGTGTCACTCTTTCTTAATACAATGTGCACTCATGATTATATTATGTAGATGCATCCTTATATGAATTCAACTGAACAATATATGATGTCAACGTGTCTTTATATGATGTCATTATACGATGTGCATCTATTATTATACGATGTGCATTTATGAATATATTATGTGGTTGCATCATTATATACAGTCAACTTATCAATATATTATGTCTATCTTTCATTATACGATGTGCATCTATTGTTTTACGACCGCTGCTTTATATGAAGTGCAAACATCATTATATCGTGTGCTTCTGTCATTATACTGATGGGGTTAAATTTACCGGGTTATATCTCACTATGCACCGTTCGTGGCGACAGCGGTAAAACTCAAAGTGAATTGCATCATATATTGATAAGCTGACTCTATATAAAGACAATTCTACATAATAAAGTGTTGTTTTGACTCTATATAATAATTGTTCCACATAATATATTCGTAATTGCACATCATATAATGAAAGACTGACATCATATAAGGACGCATACACACCATATAATGTTAAGTTGACTCTATATAAAGATGGTTCTACATAATATATATTAATGCACATCGTATAATGAAAGATTGACATCACATAAGGACGTGTTGACATCATATAATGTTAAGTTGACTCTATATAAAGATGGTTTCACATAATATATTCATTAATGTACATCGTATATTGAAAGATTGACATCATATAAGGACACATTTACATCATATATTGTTAAGTTGACTCTATATAAAGTCGATTCTACATAATATACTGAAAAATGCACAGCGTATATTAATAGATTGACATAATATAAGGAGACATTGACATCATATAATGTTGACTCTATATAATTATTATTCCACATAATATATTCATAACTTCACATCATATAATGACAGACTGGCATCATATAAGGACAGACTGACATAATATATTGTTATTTTGACCTTGTATAAGGATGGTTCCACATAATATTTTCAACAATGCACATCGTATAATGATATATTGACATCATATAAAGACACATTGACATCATATATTGTTCAGTTGACTACATATAAAGATGGATCCACATAATATATTGATGAGTGCACGTTATATAAGGAAAGGTTGACTCAATATATTGCTATTTAGACATAACAATGTTCAGGTTTATAATTATAAGACAGTCAAGGCTTTCCATATTTATGCATCAATAGGGCGTGTAGATTTGTTGCTCTAATAACAATTATTATCAACAAAAGATACAGTATAATAATATTAAAATGATATGCTCTTCAAACAGTGAAAATAATTATCAATTTGTCAATATATTGTCATAGGTTGCTTGTATATGAATCCACTTCTCCAATATATGGAACCAAATGAGCAATGCGTGGAACCAAAATGTCATTAAATTGACGGGACTTTTTTTAAAGGCTGTATTCTATCATTGCACCGGTATTATAGTTTCGCGCCAATATTCCTTATAGAACTTTCAAAAGACCAGCGTGCTTCACTGATGGCATACAGAAAATACTTAAATTTAACGTCACATTCACTTTGGTCTTAAAATGGGCTCAAATGCGCAGGCTAAACTTATCATTATATAGATTCTTTGTATAGATTCTATGTAT